TTAGGGTTTAGGGGGTTTAGGTTCTAGGGTTTAGGGGTTAGGGGTTTAGGTGCTAGGGTTTAGGGTTTAGGGGTTTAGGTTCTAGGGTTTAGGGTTTAGGGGTTTAGGTTCTAGGGTTTAGGGATTTAAGGGTTTAGGGCTTAGGATTTAGGGTGTAGTGTCTTGGGGTCTAGGGTTTCGGGCTTCGGGCCTAGGGTTTAAGGTCTTAGGTTGTGGGGCATGTGGTTTGGAGTTTGGGGTTCTGGGGGGCGGCCAGGGAGGGATGGTGTGGTATAAACTGAAGGGAAACGTGCTTCGCGTTTTTTGTTTAATAAGGTATGTGTTGCAATTTTTTGTTCGTGCTTTAGCAGGTTTGTTTTGGGATTGTAAGTCTAGACTAAAACCATGCTCCAAGGCTGCATATGGCATACGCTGCTTATATGCAAGGCTTCATCCTTCACTGTTCTACTGACAGTCAAAAGCCAACATTTAGTGGTCATTGCACTTCTTTGCAGCGGCATGCAGGGACTTATGATCGTATTCATGGTTTCAAGTTCGGGGCCGCGAGCTCAAGGTTTAGGTTTTAGGGTTTTGGGTTTCCCTTAAGGGTTTGGGGTACAGCGTCTAGGGTGGAGGGCCCTTTTGATGACTCCTCTTGAAGTCGGTAAACTACTGTGCAAAACATGCCTAGCATAGAAGACTGAACCAAACACCCTAAACCCTAAACCCTAAACCTTATATGCGAACTATCCCAGACTAGGCCTTCGGGGCTGTATCCTTCAATTCAGGGAACACTCAGGAACAATATACCTACATAGTTCTTCATGCGTTCTTGCTTATGCGAGCCCTGCTGTAGAAGAAACCACCTTCAGATGCAAAATTAGTCTAAGCTTCAACCTGCGAAGAAGCGGAGCTTTTCCAGGAAAAGTTGGATTCAGATTCAGCCAGGATCCTCAGACCGCAGCCACAACAGCAACAACCACACAATGCAACGGATACTCACAATAGTAAAAACAGCAACAACAGCAACAATAACAATAATATTAAAAATGACAATGGTAAACACCAGAATAATTCGAACCCTCATTGTCCCTCTCGCTGACCCTGCACCCCAAACACTAAAGCTAAACCCCTAAACTCCTCGAATGTAGCTTAACCTACCATAACCCACTTTTTTGTAGGTTCTTGTTATAAGCCCTAATATGGGACTTATAGGGACCCTACAAAAAAGTAGGTTCTGGTAGGTTACCCTAAACCCTAAACCCTAAACCCTAAACCCTAAACCCTAAACCCTAAAGGTAGCCTGCCTCTGTGAGGTCACATTCAGCCCGCATAGCCCATGCCCCCGGGGCCACCTATCAGACCCAAAGGGTCCATGTTGGGGTTTAGGGTTTAGGGTATAGGGTTTAGGGTTTAGGGTTTAGGGTTTAGGGTTTAGGGTTTAGGGTTTAGTATATACATTGGCCTGAATGTAGTCCCTATATAGGTACTTTAGGGCCAATGTATGTACTATTTGGGTACATGGACCCTTAGGGAGAGATATCGTTCCAAGCCGCGGGGTTCAGGGTTTAGGGGGTTTAGGGTTTAAGGGTTTAGGGGGGTTTAGGGTTCAGGGGTTTAGTGGTTTAGGGTTTAGGGTGTAGGGCCCTCAAGTACAGGTGCCATGATATAGGCGCCTTAGTATTTGGAAAAGAGTTTTGGCGGTACGCTCTGTTATAATCC